GGAACCTGTATCCGAGTTGATCAGAGTACTTGGAAAGCAGGGTAGCCAAGCATAGCTTGATAGCCTAGGAATACGTGCACCTGCAAAATTAAACAGATTGTACTTCAACAATCACTCTGAGCGCGCGATGATCGCGCCATCACAGAGCGCATCAGTTCCACGCGGTCAAGTGATGCCTCCTAACGTTTAACTCAACAGTCTGCCGCGCGGTGGTGCGAGAAACGGGTGCCGCCGCAGAGCACTGTCAAAGCAATAGTAGCCCTGACCACACTTCAACCAGTGAACATGGTTACACGCTGATTGCTTGGTTGACTTCCTACCTCTTGGTCATGCTCTGAGCGACTGCTCACTCCCTCTTGGACTTTTTCTTTCATCTTGGATCCCCTACAAATCCCAGACTCAAACTGCAGTACACATGGACTTCACTGTCTCTCCAATAAACCTACATTACATACCCAGTACTTAGTTCAAGGCAACAATGGGTGATGTCACTAGTAAAATTTGTTCATATTTAAGCCACCATTTCACTTATGAAGACATGCTTTATACAGTGTCTCTGATAGTATATTGGCTAGTACACCCGCCTGTCATAGAAGTACATAGCAACAGCGCAAGGATTCTCTCTCGCGGGAGAGCTGGGTTCGATTCCCAATCAGAGAGTGGTGCTTCTTTACCTCTCTGGAGGAAGATTTCTTTTTCCTTGCGTTATCAAGTAGCTGCGCGTCGTGAAAGCTCCAAAAAGAAAAGACGCCACTATGGCAGGTGACTTTGAGTAGGTCGTGCAGCTCTCAGTCAGATATGATCACCGTGTGGCTGTGCATTGCCATCAATCTTGGAGGACTTGACAACTATATAAGTATAGCTGGCCCTAGTACGACCTGGCGACTACGCTTTTTTGTCGCCATGTACAATTTTCTCTATCTCAAGTTGGCTTTTGAATTGTTTTCGGTGGTTCAGCAGCCTAAATCTGAGTTCCAAGTCTCATTTCTCCTAGTCTAAGAAGCTCCATGTTGGAAGATAAAGATTTCTCAGCGAAGCGACAGCTACAACGGTTAGATTGACGCCGTATCATCCACCGCTACTGCTTGCTCACAATTCTATGGTTGACCCAGGTCAATACGTCGTTAAATTCACCTTTGCAAATACACGATGATGTTAATTGTAGTTGAATGTTCGCAGTGCAAACAGACTCCTAAGAAATGGTGCTTCTCACCCTGCCTGTCCATACATTGATACCGTTCGTAAACGTTTCGAGCGTGTTCTGTACGTTCGAAGTCGCCATTTTTCTCACCTGCGTTTTTGTAGGCAACAAAATCAGATAACAATGCATACGATATGATTACTCATGGCACATCAATGAAGTATGCGGCCGGCGCATTTTGATCCGCTCAAAATCGGTGTTTTAGGTCGGTCCCGGCGTCGGTTTATAAATATGCACGCCTTGCGTTTGCCAGCGAATGTTGTTGTTTCAACGAGTTCCCTTCCGCGCTCTCTCAAAGTCTGAAGCTGAAGATCAGTTTGGGCCGTAGACTATCTTCAGACTCCGGTTTTGTTCACAGGTGAGTGAGGCATTTCATTATCAGGAATAGGGCCTAATTAGAACGTGCATGAGCCCCAGATTGTTTTTGAACTCGTATTCGAAGAAGAGGGCCATTGCAATTGTCCAGCTGCCTTCTGAGGACATCTCATTTTATCTCGCGTCGAAAACGAGGACACCACATCGATGGCAATCAACCATCCGACGGTGAACTTGTCCCGTATCGGCGTTTATGGGCCCGTAACAGCTACGCTCGATTGGTGCGAGGTGCGTGGATGTGCACGGTTGCTTTGCGGAATTCTGAAACGTGCTTTTCTCTTAAATTCATTATCAACTACATTGGGCACAAACCTCGTCGATGCGCCGAATACTCTTCCTTACTCAATTCCATTTTCAATGCGCGTATCCACCAGCCGAACCATATGTTCAGTCCGCATATAGCGGAGATGGCCAACACTTTGTCGAATCTGTATACAATTTCCATCTCTGTGTTAGGACTCGCGAATACGCTACGAGAGCATCTTCCGCAACGCTTTCTGTTGGGATATCTTGTGAGTGACCGTTTGAGTTATTTGTCGCTTCGTTATGCACATATCATCGCTGGTTCGTCTTTACACCTTCCTTTTCATTACCCTCGCAAAAGCTTGTACCATCCTGTCATTCCCCAGCCTGCGACAAGTGTGCGACTATCCTCTATTGACTTTCGTTCACGTAGGGGATTGCTTTTGTCGGCATAGGAAGCTTTATTTTCCACGCAACACTTCTATGGGGCGCACAGCTGATGGACGAGCTTCCCATGATCTATGTCGCGGCGCTCAGTCTTTGGATGATATCCGAAGACGGAGAGGGCTTCACTGACTCGAAACAATCGCAAGAGAAGCAAGCAAGCAACAATTACGGCATGAGTGCACGCGCCATCACATCTCTGTTGCTATTTGACGTGCTCTTCACAGCGAGCTAGTGCGTTACCCCATTTTGTTGTTTCAAGAACTGATGGGACCCTTGTCAGTTATGCGTACCGCAACCCTGTGTACCACCAATGCGTGTTCGCGAGCTTGCTCCTCTCGCTGATTTATCGCGTGTGGCGTCTGTTAAGACGCGCTGCGGATGTAGAGAAGGCGGAGGCCTTGCTAAGTGCTTCGGCCATCCGCACCTCAAATGTCCACCCGATCCCTGCAGACTTGCGCCGCACGATCACACGCCTTTTCGCGTCTGGCGCGGCACTATTCGCGTTCGGTTTCCTCATTTGGAATCTTGACAACGTTTTCTGCCCCACGCTTACGCGCTATAAGCAAGCCGTGGGTTGGCCCGGCGCGTTTCTATTGGAGGGTGAGTAATCAGCACGTTATCATCTTTGATGTTTGACGGAGAAACTTGCATTTCTCTGACTGATATACTAACATTTTTCACGCGCGCAGGTCATTCATGGTGGCATATCTTTACAGTAAGTCCTCTCGCGCGCGCACTGATAGCGATTCATTGCTCGTGTTTTCCGTGTTCTTAGGGCGCTGGGACGTACTACATGTTTATTGGCATGCAATGTAAGTAAACGGGCGCGATTTTAGCCAGTCCCGCCCTTCCTTTCCAACTAGACTGATCTTTGGCTCGTCTCTTCGGTATTTTTTTCCTCCATGCAGTCGTGTAAGTACATCTGTTTGTCATTCGTCTCCGAGCGTTGCAGTTTATAATTCTTCGCTAGTACACTCGCCGTGAAGGACGACCACCGCAATTACAAGCTTGGCCGCCGCTGGGGCCTTCCTGTTACTGTACGTAGCCCAAAGGGATGGGAGGCGATTGGCCTACAGGCGCCCGGCGAGAATGGGTACAAGATGGGCAAGTATATCAAATCAGAATAAGGGAAGCCTCGTGGACGTGCGCCTCTGTGCGAAGCTAGCACGCACAAACGTTCAGAAGATCATTGTTGTCTCGTACCCCGCAGTTCTTGTGCCAGTCCTTGACTGTGTTTAATCAGCTAGAGAATAAAAGGTTGTATGTTTAGCTCTGTAGATATATAATGGGTGTGCGTACATATTGAAAAGCAACACCGGCCGGTATTCACAAAACCATCTAGTATTTGTGTGTTGTCAACCCCTGTGTACATCAAGTACCTTGCCCAGATTTGTATTGACGCGACGAGAGGCACGCGATCGCGTCGATGACTCACGATCGTCGACTCCGTCGTTGAATCAGAACCGTTCAGTTCAGTTGGCGAGGAAGCACTGGCAGTCGCCACTCTGCTCCCCGTAAGTACTCTGAGTCTATTCACTCCCAGTTCCGTGGTCTCCTTCGCTGTTCTCGGCGACGACGGCAATGCACTGTTCCACTGTACGCCAGCGCGCTTTTCATGCCTTCTCGCGTTCTTTTTCCACAACGCTTGCACGTGCTGAGACGCCTAAGCCGTCAATTCAGTTCGTTGCGGAACTTCGCAAGCATACCCAGGTGTCAATATCAAAGGCGCGCGAGGCGCTGACGGCGTCGAACCTCGACATCAAGGGTGCCCTGGCATGGCTCGAGACGGACATGGCTGCTTCCGGTGCATCGAAGGCCGCTAAGATCGCGGGTCGCACTGCCCAACAAGGTCTCGTTGCCTTACATGTTCTTTCTCCCGGTGTACTTGGTGCCTCGTCATCTGCGAGTGATGCAGGAAGGGGCGGCGTGCGCGCAGCAATGATCGAGTTGAACTGTGAAACCGACTTCGTTGCGCGAAACGCGCTCTTCGGTACCCTGGCGGCAAATATTGCGCATACCGCTGCCGTGCTTGCGTCCCCCGTTGACGACGCTAGCGCATTCTTCCGTGCCTCGCCCTCGCTTGATGATCTTCTTGCGGCGCCGCTTATTCCTGCCGCAGACCCTGCCGCTGTGCCGACGACGACTGTCGGCGATGCTGTACACCAAACGATTGCGCGTTTAGGCGAGAAAGTGTCGCTTCGTCGCGTCATTGGCGTCGCGCGTGACCCTCCTCCGTCCCCACTCGCATTTGCGCTTGGCTCGTACGTACATGGGTCCGTCGGTGACTCCAATCGCGGGCGTGTCGGTGGTCTCGTTCTTGCGGCCGTGCGGCACGAAGGCATTGCCAAAGGTGTGCGTCCAGCTGCTACTGAGAGCTCAGACGGTCTGCCCGTCTCTCCGATTAACGCCCTCGCACTCCTCGCCCGCTCACTCGCACGGCAGGCCGTCGGGTTTGATACGCGCGTTCTCGACAATGCGGCGGACGCGTCTGATCTCTCTGCGCTGCTGAACCAGCCGTTTATGATGCTAGCCACTGATTTGCATAAGCTCGGCCAAGGTGAGACGTCCGCCAACGAGCGTACGGTGCGCGAGGTGCTTGGTCTGTGGGCGGAACGCTACCTTACTGCGCGCGGGGACATTAATATGCTCGAGTTCGCGCGCTCGGTGGTGGGCGAACCGGTTGAGAGCGAGAAGCCGGCTGAGCTTGCTAAACTGGAGACGCAAGAGTAGACGCACCGTACATGAAGTGGGGAGACCAGTAAAAGTACACGTATTGCATATTTTATTGTCTAATCGCATGAATACCCGCTGCTCACGATGTCCCTGGCCAAGAATGCCCCATTTTCCATGACTATATCATTCTGGTAGAGAATAATCCGCGATGCCACTATGTACCGATATATTTGCATATAGTTTTAGTCAATGTACATGCAAGAATCTCTCTTTTGACTGTGTTTTCGCTGGTGTGATGACATTACGATTACACGTAACGTGGGCAGGAGCAGGTAAGAACCTACGGTAAGCCGTAGATATGCAAAGCTAAGGAAGAATGGGAAGATTCATGTACTAACATCCACCAGCAAAAGATCTGCTATACAGACAAAGAAATATACATTGAGGGGAATCGAACCCCCCAGCGGACTCCCACTCCATATGGTAACAACTGCCACTAAGCCATTAGTACTGGTGATTAATGACGAAGGGCGAGCCAGTAACGAGCCAGCGAGCCCGCGTTATTGCGAACGAAGTGAGCAATCTTCGGCTAAGGGGCAAGGTTCGCAGTGACTCATAAATAAACAACGACAAACGAGTAGTCACGAAAATGCTGTCGCCGCAATTATTGAACAGGGGACAGACCAAACAAATTTTCTTCTATGGATCTGAAAGTTGGTAGGTCATCTGTACTCAACGGGCGCTACAGGCCTCTCTTTTCCGTTTGTTCTGGCATGACCTAGTTCTTGAGATACTGGATGTAGCTCATGAGTGTGTATGAGTGGCGCAGTGCGGTCAAGTCCAATACATTCTGCTTTCTACCATACTATTCAGGTGCACATGTTACTCTACTAAGGCTTATCCATGATTTGGAGCCCTCACTATCTGAAATTGACTCGAAGCGCACTCAGCTTTATATTCGGTGCCACACCAAGTGGGGATTTCCTCTTTGGGAATTCCAACAAACGCGCTCCGTCAATCAGAATGATGGCGCATCATTATTTGCTTGTCCAAACCTACAGTCTCGTTAGATGATATAGCACGCAGATATCCTAACAACAATACAATCTCAATTCACTGTAACTCGTGCGTCGCGCCGACGGATCGGAGTGAGCTCTTCCATGGGTCACCCATCGTTTATTTATGGATAAAACTGCGAGGCGAGCGCGTGAGAGTGTTCGCGACGCGTACAACGGGGCCTGAGCGTTTCTCATGATATGAGTTATGAGTAATCAGTCTTACATACTTCATCACACAAGTAATTAGATTTATCTCATCCCAAGTACCTCATTCATCGTATGAATACCACAGGCCTCACACAAAGCTAGCCACCTTCTTATTCACTACTGTAGTAGACCTCTCGATTTCCACCAGCAAAAAATCTGCTATACAGGCAATGTGCATTAAGGGGGAATCGAACCCCCGGCGGGTCGATCAGCCGTATATACGTGAAGTATGGCAACGACCCAGGTTACCACTACCCCATTAATGCTATGAAAAAAAGGGAATGCTATTGCTGATTGGATGAAAGCCTATAGGAAAAGTATGCTACTCAGAAAAACAAATACGAGAAAAACATGCAACGATACATATGTATGTATGATAGCCAGAGTAAAAGCAATTATGAATAGCAAGAGTGCTGTATGATGGTGATCAGAGCTTGATCAACGTTGACGTTGGGACAACTTGGAACTTCAAGTCATCTTCCACGCTTGCCGCGCGCGACCGTGCGACGTAGTTTCTGAAGTATCTGCCCTTTTAATCTTCTTTTCTGTCTTCTGCTGGCCCGCTCTGTCGTTTCCTGTGGATCGATCTAGAAAACTACCCACGACTAGCGAGTTGCTCTCTTGACCCTCCGCTTCTTACAGCTCTTCGCGAAAACCTCGTTTCTGGATGAAAACTGTAATGTAGACATGCCATTCTGCTTGCCTTCTGTGTTCCTCGGTGATAACCCTTGCGAAGATGTTCGTCGACTTGTCAGTTAAACTAGAAAAGTGAGCTTGCAGGACTTGTAGCGCCCATTTGTCGTGCTGAACTTCTCCAGGCGATGACAATAACACATCCGCCATATCCACAACCAGGTCCTTCCAACTTTTACCCGCAGTCCCAGCCGTACGGCTACCCAGCTGGCGGGGGGCCTCCATACCCGTACTACCATCCGCAGATGCACGCTACGCCGCACCTACCCAATGCACCACACATTCCCGTTCCCCATCAGCCCGCTTATCCGCCCCCTCGTCTGAACGGTGCTCCTCCCTTCCAACACCCAGCTTACTACCCCGGGCCCCCGCCCGAGTTCTACCCACCGCACCAACATCAACATCCCCCAAATCAGCCCCATCCGCAACAACACCGCAGCCCCGCAAGATTCCACCAGTCGCATGCCACCAAAAATTTCCAGCATCCACCACCATTTTACCCACAGCAGCAGCGGCAGCAAGTCTCGCAACCATCCGCTTCTGTGTCGCCCCATCAGCCGCCGCCGCCTCCCGTGGTATCACCCCATCAGACACCGCTGTCGCCTCTCGCCTTGTCTCCTGCCATCCATCTCACTTCCTATCCAGCTGCACCCGTGTTTGTTCCTTCAGGATTGGGCTTGTCCAAGTCAATATCCTACTCGTCTCCCCCAGCGATAACGGAAGCGGTGCCCGTAGCGTCCCAGGAATCACCGGGGCCTGACGTGGCTCCTCCAGGCGCTCCAATGCCCCCGGCCGAGCCTGTTACAGCCCCCCTCGCCGAAAAGGCTGGGCCATCCCGGACATCTCTCGACGAAACCAGCAGGGCTGCCGATCCAGAATTTGCTGCTACTGACGGGCCGAAGATCGAGGTTTGTGCCAGCGACAAGGACGCGCCAGCAGATGAGCTTTCGTCAACGTTTGCCAACGAGTCAGCAATCCCGGTCTGCGGCTGGGCTATCTGGTCGCGGCGGCCCACGAACCCTCAGTTCGCTCCTGGCATCATCATATCTCCTCGTGCCAATCCACCGCAGAACATCATCGAGCAGGCTCTCACGCTGCCGACACCCCCAGCGTCACCTGTTCTCAAGCCTGCGTCGTTGCTCGTTCCAGAGGTTTCTGTGCAGGATGACATCGTTTCGCAGGACCCGACGTCGTCCGCTGTCCCCTCGTCATCTGTTACCGACACGACTGATATTCGGACGTCGCCTAACTCGCCTGTGTCTTCGAACACGTCGCTCTCGCTGGTCGGTACACCCGCTCGGGACCTTAAACCTGTCATTCCGGAGGCAGTGAACGAAGACGCTTCGAATGCGATTCCGCCTGACGCACCCGCTCCAACCAGCGCTGATGTCGCTGACCCTGTCCCGCCATCGGTCACCGACTCAGCCTCAGCACCTGCAACCACGTCGCAATCGTTCGCTGCCCCTGCTGTCCCCACAGTTAAGAAATCGTGGGCATCCCTACTCCGCACGGCCGCTTCGTCGTCCGTTACCTCTGTCTCGACACGTAATGCGCTTCCAACGTCGGCAGTCATGGGCTTCTCCGTGCCTGCTGGTGCGCCGCCCGTGCCCGGCCCTGGCTTGTCTGAAATCATACACTCTGCTCTTGCCACTCTGCTCCGCGGCCCTGTACATTCTGCCGCTGCTCGAGGTTCAGCTTCGGTGGCTCGAGGTTCACTTTTGGCGACTCGGGGCCCGTCGTATGCTACTGTGCCAGCCTCTGCCTTGTCATCACCGGCCCTTGCTCCAGCCGTGTCACGCATCCGCCCGCGCGGGCTGATCAATACGGGCAACATGTGCTTCGCGAACGTGGTGTTGCAGATTCTCGTGGTATACTGTGCGCCGCTGCACCGCGTGTTGACGGAGCTTGGACGTCTGCTAGCTTCGTGCGAGGCAGCAACTGCTGCAGCAGCCAGTCAGGAAAAGGACAAGGGGCAGAGTGCAGGATCGAGTACAGAGCGTCCTGCTGTATGTGTTGGCAAGGCCATCGGTCTTGGAGATGACAAGACTCCCTTGCTCGACGCTACGATCGTGTTCCTGCGTGAGTTCGAGCCCCTTCCTCCGCCGTCAAGTAAGGGTAAGGATCGAGAGCGTGACGAGGAGGATGAGGATGAGTCGTTCGTCCCATCCGTCGTATACGATGCGCTAAAAGAGAAACGTAAATTTGATACCATGCGGGTATGTGCATTTTTTCGCCTCTCCTTTCAGTTTTTCCTTAGTTTCCTTTTTTTCTTTGTAGGGAGGACAGCAAGAGGATGCAGAGGAGTTTCTTGGATTCTATTTGGACGCCTTAGAAGAGGAGCTTCTCCTGCTAGTGAATGCCGTCTCACCGAAAAAGGCCTCCGATAAGAAAGCAGCTTCAGACGTAGAAGAAAAGGAGGAACCTGGGCCTCCTGAAGACGACGGCTGGATGGAAGTTGGCAAGCGGAACCGTACTGTGGTCACGCGTACTGTAAGTACACCGTATCCTTTTCACACCCTGAAATCATCCTCCTATGATTCCCTTTTCTGCTCGAGACGTTGACAACATTGTAGGTCAAAAGCATGGAGTCACCCATTACGGCTATCTTTGGTGGCAAGTTCCGCTCCACGTTGCGTGCACCACATCAAAAAGACTCTGTCGTGATCGAGGATTGGAGAGCATTGCGTCTCGACATTCAGGTGTGTTCATTATGATTGTGTTCCGCTCAAGTTCATCTCTTTTGTTGCAGCGTGAGCAAGTGGACACTGTTCAGGAGGCTTTAGCTGCGATTTCCCATCCACAATCGGTACAAATTACAAAATCGGGTGGCGGTGCGCCAGTGGAAGCGAGCCAGCAGGTGCTCATCGAATCGTTGCCCCCCGTGCTTGTCCTCCATATGAAACGCTTTTGCTATGATACCGCCGTTGGCGGCGTTGTCAAAGTTAGCAAACTGATCCGCTTTGGGCCTGAGCTCGACATCCCACCAGGTGAGCTTGCCCGTTTGCCCCGGGATGAATGGCTATATACTTATGTTCCATCTTCAGACGTCATGTCTCCCACTACGCCACGGGCTCTACCGGCGCATTATCGACTTTTCGGGGGTACGTTCGCCACCACACATTCGTTGGTCGTTTTTTTAACCTCAGACTTGTGTCATATAACAGCTCTCTATCATCATGGGCTCTCGGCCTCTGGCGGCCACTACACGCTCGATGTTCTGCACCCATCGAGATTTACTGTTGGCGGCAAGCCTCAAGAGGGGTGGATCCGTATCGATGATGCGTTTGTGTCCGACGTGCATGCGGAAGACGTGTTCAAGATGGACGCAGACGATTCGCGGTGTGCGTATCTGCTGTTCTACCGTAGGATACGATAACGATGTGTGGTGGATGAATCGATGATTATCTATGGATTTGCTGTATCTCGTTTTCTCGTTGCAGTACGCTATCTGAGAGAGGCCCGACGGCGACAGATACTGAGATAGCATGTTGCCTATCAAATGTTCTTGGTCACGTGCATGTGTGACCGATCGCGTAGATGGTGTCACGCACCTGCACGTGCCCGCGAAACCGCCCCTGGCGCATTCGCGTTCATCTGAATCATCACGCTATTCCCTAGTTCGATGTATTTTTTTTGGCAAAACAAAAGTTTTCTTCATATGGAAATTTGCATCTGCTGACCCCAGTGTCCAAAAGAGTGACCTTGTCGTCTTTCTGTGTGGGAAGGTTTGGGGTCTTCCTATCTAATCGCTTTGGCAGCAGTATCGCACCCGCTTATCTTTCAAGCTAATTATTTATCCAGTCGCCGTGACGGTCCCCATCCAGACATGGCGAACTTTCAATAAAAGCCCCAGCGACGTTATCTGCTGCTCGAAGTGCCTACCGTACTTTCTTTGCGACGACTATGTTCGCCACTGCCGGTCTAGTTATCCTTGCAGCGGCCATTGCCCGTGCTCACCAAGCCCTTCTCGCTGAACATCCTGCTGTTGACATCACCCAGGAGCCATGGGCGAGCAAATATGGCGCACAAAAGGATTTGGGATACACCGGCCCTCTGAGCTTCTCCCACATGCCGTACGCTCGCTGCCTCGAAGACGCGAGTACACCGTACGACATTGCTATTATTGGTCTTCCGTTTGATACAACGACGTCTTATCGTCCCGGTAAGTTGCATCATCTAGCTTGAGCGTCGGGGTTATAGTAGTTGTTTTTTTTTTTTTTTTGATTACATGGACTATTGTTGTTGATCCATTGTTCCCCTCCTCGTTCACATTTTTTTCTGCAGGTGCCCGCTTCGGCCCGTTCGGCATCCGCTCTGGGTCGCGCCGCCAGAGTGCAGGAGGGTACACTCTTGCGTGGGGTGCTAGTCCCTACGAATTGGGCGCCAGTATACTTGACTGCGGTGATGTACATCCGTCCCTCGCGCGATAAAGTGTTTCGTTGTTCCTGTTGACGCGCGCATAGGTCCCCCTTACTGCTTACGACAACATGAAAGCCATTGACCAGATGGAGGTTGCGTATGACACGCTGCTCATGCGTCCTGTCAAGGGCGGCGCAGATGGATTGTATCGGTC